TGAAGTGTCAACACAAATAGTTGGAGAGCATTCCCTCTCCAAAACGAAGAGAAAATGGTAGAAAGAAAAGTTACTATATAGCATGTAAGAAATATTAATAGGACAGAATATTAATTTACAGGATTTTTTTAACTCAAAGTAAATTATTTCAGTTAAATATAAATATTCTACTTACCTATTGGAGTATGAAGTGTATTAATTATAAAATTGGTCCATTTTAATGATTTTATAGTTTATCATATATAACAAAATTTATATTCAAGTATACAACAGTACGTTCTGATAATTAGAGAAATACTAGAAGATTGACCCAGCATTGCTCAGGTCCTTAACTCAATTTTTGTTTTTTGGAAAATAAAATGAAAGTGTATGTGATCGGTATGAATCATTGCCCTGGGGTTGGGGATGAAGGGCATCAGTATGCAGGCAGCTCCAGCCATGTCTCTCACCTCAGCAACTTGTGGCCAGGTGAGAAGTATCTCTCCATGGGTGCTGCAACCAGCACATCCAGGGGAGGGGTCATATCCCCTAGCTGAGAGCAGAGGGGTAATATTCCCCAAACGAGGCAGGCCCAGATTCGTCTGCCTCCTGTGTTCCCCAGCCAAAGTGAGGAATACTGCAAACTATGCATTTCCCCCCTGCTTCCTGACAAAGGAGAACAGCCAGCAATGTTTCTGTACAAATTGTAGGGGGGAAGCTTCAGCCCCCTCTAGCCTCTCTAATGGATGCCAGGGGGTGGGAGGGCAGCCTCTCCCCATCAATTAGTAGCCTACATGATATATTTCTATTTTCAATGCTGAGTCAATACCTGATTCATCTTATGAGTGACATATGAACTGCTAACAGCATATTAATGGAAGATTGTCTTCCCTGAAGACCAGAAAATTAATCTCCAAACTGACCAGATCAAAAGGAGAATAAATAAATTTATAGACAAGCAAAACTACACTTTTACTTTTAATCTGAACCCATCAATGGCACATTATTATTCACGCCACCACTCGTACAAACACTTAAGATACTGTCTCACATGATTCATCTACAAACGACCAGATCCTTTAAAATTCCAGTCACAAAAAGAAAACTATTGCACACACTAACAAATCAAAGACTGGTCTTTCACCTCTAGACCAGGGGTCTGCAACCTATGGCACACATGCCATAATTGGCACACAAGCTGATTTTCACTGGCATGCGAGCGTCCACTCCAGATCTGTATGCCAACCTCATCAAGTAGTGAAATGTCCCAGAAATCCCCACTGTACATTTCACTACTTCAGGGGTGACCAACCAGTTAGAGACGAAGAGCCAAAATAGCTGCGGATAGTGTGAAAAGCCATGTATTATATATTTATTTGCATATATCTATAGATAGCTATATATAGTCAGTGCTTTTTTTGGTAAGAAAAAGGGTGCCGGTACTCCGGGAGGAAAGTTGAAAAACCACACTGGGGGCCAAAATGCTGTTGTGGCCCCCTTAAGAGCTGCGTGTCCTGAGCGGGCTTCCGTCAGTAGCCCAACCAACCCAGGAAGAGACGTGCCAGTTCGTCCGAGGGAAATGTAATTCATTTAAGTTATGCAGGGGAAATAGGTGCTGGTACTCTGTCCCAAGGCATACAATCACAAAAAAAAGCATTGAATACAGTACACAAAATGTAGTGATAAAAATAACATTACAGGACATTTTGGACAAAAAACAATAAGTCTCTATTCGCTTAAAAATTCACGGCCAGTCCATAGATCTTCAGAGAACTTGACAAGAAACAAACATCAAATTAAAAAAAATCTTTAAAAATACAGTAATATTCTCTCATAAAAAAAAGCATCCCCACCATGTATTTTAAATTTAACACTACTGCCCTATTATATCCTGTGAGTTGTTTAGAATTAAACTGAACTGAGAAGTAAATTAGCACAATTTGAAGTGCCTATTTCTCTCCAGCTTGTTGATCTCTAGTATGATTTCCTCAGGTTTTTGGTTTTGGTTTTGTTTGTTTTTTACTTATGAAGATTATGGCTTTTTTATAGTTCTAAAAATTCAGGTCTGCCCCAGACTGCAAATATGAGAGGTGCAAAAACAATAAGGGAGAGACTCATATCTCAGAATTGCTTCAGCCAGGCAAACAATAACCTTTGAATTTTCTTTGAAGAAACACAGTATAAACCAGGTACATGCTGTTTTTATTTTTTGCCCTGGAATTTAAATATGACATCTGTGTTGGCTGCCTTATTCTGTATCCATGAAGACTTTGAATTTAAGGTGTTTCAGCTCCTCCCCCTCACTCTAACCCAATCCCCCTCCTTTCCCCCAGAGCCAGGCACCCCATCTCCCCGGCTCTAACCCAATGCACCCACCCCTCCCCCAGTGCCAGGCTCTGGGAGCTCCCT